GAAGTATGGCATGTACTTTGACTCAGCCCCTTCCCTTCCTTTTCCCGATTATTGTCCCTTCTGTCTTCATGGCCTGCATATATGTATGGGTGTGTATGTGTGTGTGTGTGTGTGTGTGTGTGTGTGTGTGTGTGTGAGAGAGAGAGAGAGAGAGAGAGAGAGAGAGAGAGAGAGAGAGATATCTAGGTTCAATATAAGGGAGAAAGTATAATATTTGTCTTTCTGAGTCTGATTTATTTTGCTTGATATGCTGATCTCCAGTTCTATTTTCCTGAAAAGAGCCTAATGTCAGTCTTCTTTATAGCTGACTAAAATCATTGACTTTGGATGGATGGATGGATGGATGTTTGGATGGATGGATGGATGGAGAAGCCCAGGTTCTTCATGCCCATGTTGATGGATGTCTAGGCTGGTTCCTTATCTTGGCCATTGTGAATACTCCTGCAGTAAACACAGATATGCAGGTCTCTGTGTTGTTTGCTGACGTGGAGGCCTTGGGCCCACACTCAGGAGTGGTAGAGCTGAGTCCTGTTGTAGTTCTGCTTTTAGTTTTTTGAGGAAGCTTCATATTGATTTCCATATTGGCTAGACAGTTTACATTCCCACCAAAAAAAAAAAATCAGTGAATCTTCCCATCAGTCTGTGAGGAATCCCTCCCACCTGCAAACATCCTCCTTAGTTTTCAAAGAAAAGGAGACAGCCACTGTGTGGAAAGCCTCCATTATGCTTAACATACTCTGACTCATTTGATACCCAGAGAGCTCAACTTACAAAGGAGGAACCTGAGTCACAGAGAGCTAAAGCTACTTGCTTAAGACCACACAGCTCATTCAGGGAAGGACTTAATTTTAGTGCTTACTTTTTCTCACTCCCAACTCGTAACTCCTTCTGTCATGTTGATCCCAGCAAAAGAGCATGTCCTACTAACTGCAGGTGCTTTGTGAGCTGGGCTTGCTGGAGAGACCCTGGCAGAAGATACAGAGGCCTGTGGCTGGCTGAGTCTATCATGTCTGACCATTGGAAAGCCCATCCCTACTGCACAGTGCCTAGCTAGAGGTGCTTGGACTCAGGGTGTTGTTGATTCTGTTGTGAAATCATGTGGAGGGTGACTGCAATCCTGAAACGAAGACAAGTTAGATCAATTTCCCTACATTTTACTTTCCACACATTACATTTCCTTTCCACACATCTTTAGCACCCACAGTGGGCCAGCTAGAGTGGGTGCTGGGCAAGCTACTATCCTTCCTTGGGCAGCCATCTGCTGCTTCATCAAAAGTAGGCAGACCAGATGGAGAACATCCCATGCTCATCACAGGCTAGGGCTCATGAGTCTCAGAGACCTAATCCTCAACAAGGGCCCTGGGTATGGGTGGACATATGTTGAGGACTTCTGATGTCTTATATGCAAAATACCACCTTCCTGGACCTCCACAACTCCATGTAGCATGTGATATTCTGCTCAGACTTAGGGCATTGCTCAGCAAACAGAGGCCAGAGCAATTACTCAGCAGTAGTAGAGGCAGGATGTGAACCCAGACCTCTGCCTCCAGAGCTGGCTGCTACCTCTGATACCCTTGAGCATTAGGAAATGGCAGAGTGTGGCATAAAGCCATGTCACCCCAGGGCAACTTTCTAAGGATAGATACAAGTACTCTCAATGGAAAATAAAAGCATGATCATGCATGCATCTGGTGCCTAATATGTGCACAATAATTAGGTGCGATGAGTGAAGATGTTATCCAGCATGACCCCAGGTTGTGTTCTGCCAAGAGATTTGAGACTCCACAAAGCTGACAAGAAAAGTAAGGCACAGTGTTCTTGAGGCACCGTGTATAGCTGTAGCTGGAGTTACTGTAGTCAAACGTGCTCCTTCCTGAATCGTTCTGGGATGGGAGGAAGTGGTTAGGACATGATGTACTTAATTCCTTTTCAGAAGCTTGGGTAGATTGAGAGAGGAAGGAGGTCAGTCACATGGTATGACTCCAGTGTGTATGTACTGAAAGAACAGATGTATAGATGGAAGTATGGGTGAGTGGATAGATGGATGGGTGGATGGATGGATGGTTGATTGAGTACGTGGGTGGACAGATGAGTTGAGGGGTGGGTTGTTAGATGGATGGGTAGCTAGGTGGGTAGGTGGATAGATGTGATGGATGAATGGGTGAGTGGGTTGGTAGATTATGAATGGATGGACAGACAGACACATAACTAGAGGTACTCCCATGTTCATTCCTCAAGTGCCTAACAAATGGTTTGGTCTGATTTGCTGAGGATTCTTAATGAGACTCTTCAGTCCAAGCCCATGGCAGAGCTGTGGTAAATAAGTTCTTGCTTAATAGGAGATAAGACATTACCACTCAGCCATCTCTATGAACAGAGGAGACAGATGAAGGTTATCAGGGAAAAAAGTCATTTCTAAGTTTAAGGACGCTCTGTCATCCTCAGCTTCCACAGCCCAGAGAGAAAGAGATTTTTCTTTGTTAGGAACAGAATCAGTTTTCTGAGATGGGCACCCACTAATGAGGTTTCATTCTGCCCAGTGGAGCAATAGCAGAGATCTGTCTTTAGAAAAGAGAGAAGGGGTCCCACATCTTGGCATTTCAGTTTGGCCCTGATGTTCTTAACACTGCTAGCAATTTTCTGTTATTAATGCCTGTGGAATTAGGTAGACTTCCCCTGGCTCAGGAATAGTGTTAAGAGCCATGGTTGGGAACTTAGCATCTCCTGCATTTCATGCATAACATGCACTTCTTACAAACACCACAGAAGTTAGGCTTCTTCTGATAAGAAAGAAAGAAAAAGAAAGAAAGAAAGAAACAAACAAACAAAGAAACAAAGAAACAAAGAAACAAAGAAATAAATACACAGACATTCAGAGAGGCCAGGGAGTTTGTCCAGAGTCACCCAGTTCTTTGGTGACAGACCTGGAATGCCTCTCTAAGTACTCCAATCCTAGAGCTGTTTGACATCTAAATGGATGTCAGTGTGTCTGTCCACAGGTTATCATTACCCTTCTGGAGTGTTTTAAGCATCTTGAATAGCATCCGTTAACTAGAAACTATCTAGCTACAACAGAAATTGCCAGAACACTCATCCCTCCCACCCCAGCACAGCTCAGTTGAATAGACTTGCAACTCTGTGTCTTCTAGAAAACCTTAGAACAACAATCTGCAAACTATGGGATGCATGTCCCCTAACACTAAAGCACCACTGTCAACAAAGACCTTTGTCCTTAGTCCGTCACACTCACCAAGGTTCTTCCTTCCCACTCTCTAAGCACTTAGAGCTCTTAGCTGCTTAGATTTCCCTGCCAGCTGGATGACTTCAGTCAGTTAAACTCTCCGAGCCTCAATTTTTCACCAGTCACAAGCAAATTAACAACTGTAGACTTACAATGTTCTGAACATTGAATGAAGGTAACTCGTTCTTTTATCTTCCATGGTCATTCTGCACAGCAAACATCTGCTGATGTCCCATATACAGCCCCAGGCAGGCCACTCTGAGGCTTCAGCTCATACGTAGTCCTGTGCAGAGCCACCCACACAGGTCACTCTGAGGCTTCAGCCCAGATTTTTCTCTGACACCAGTTTCTCTCAACATGCAGGCACCCGCTTAACATGCAGCAGTATGCCACATTTCTTAGGAAATTCTGAGTTTCCCACATTTCTTTCATTTATAACATTTCGTGACTTCAAAATTTATATGCATTGCATGTTGGCCCTCTCTTTGGCTCTTCCTCTCCCATCTGCCTACTTCCTACTTAGATAATTGTCAATTATCTGTGCCACTTTCCCCAGGAAGATTCTAACTGCCAGCCTCCACATGGCACTACTACTGTCATTCAAGGTCCTCTGTACCTTTGGACACAATGGCTGGCTGAAAGCCTTCACTGAGTACCTACCCTGTGTCTGGACCTCCCATGGGCACTCTCTGTATGCTACATCCATTCATCTCACCACCAACCTCTGTGTGATCCAGACAACACTATTTCCATTCCATAGATGAGAACCTGGAGGTCTGTAAGTGGTTTAAATGGCTTGCCCATGGTGACTTGCTCAAGACAACACCGCTGTCACCTTCTAGCTGTTTCTTGAGTCAGACAGTCAGTCCCCTGGCAGGAAAATGGGCTGCTGACCTGCCTGCCACAGCACTCCTTCCTTCATATCTAGCTGTTCAGCATCCTCTGAGCAGTCACAGGACTAGGAGGCAAGACTTCACCAGGACCTTTCCCGGCTCAGATTCAGGGGTCCTTCTCTGGCTCCCAGAAGCCCAGCCCTAACAGCTGTACTTCAGAGGGCTGCTAACATCTCTCCCCTCCCAGGTTCCCTAAATACCTTCAGACGAGGAGCATGGCCTCTCCCGGGAGTTGGCAGCAGAGGGCCACCAGGCGTGGGGTCACCAGCTCTCCATCAGCTGCTGCTGCTCCAGGCTGAGTGGGCCACACCGGCTTGAAAGGGAGCACCAGCGTAGCCCATGTTATCAAGCGAGCTCCAGAGTTGTGGTTGCTGAAGGGCTGAACACTTCCTCTGCTGAAACAAGGAAGGCAGAGGCGCGGGGCTGGCAGGAGGGCAGGTTCCTGTTTTCACTAACCCACAGAGCAGACTTCTCTCTGCAAGGACGGTGGGGAAGAGAAGGGCCTTATTAATTCCTTTACAAAGCACTTGAGAATATAGGCAGCTTGATTGTAAATGGCCGGGGCTTACAGGAACTCACTTTTTCCCTCTCTCTTTCTAATTAAAAGGCAGATGGGGCTGTGAATTTGCCTGTGTATGTCCCCAGAGCTCACTGGGCCCAAGGAGGCTGGGGATAGCTCACGGCAGCTTTTCTTCCCAGAGTTTCTTTCATTTTCACGGCTCTCTTGCATCACTGCAGAAGGGGCCCAGAGCAACCCCTGAAGCTGAAGGTCTGCCATAGGCTGGCTTCAGTGGCCAGAGACCTAAGACAGTGGACAACTGCTCCCGCGCACAGCAGAACTGCCCAGCAGCATCCCTGGGCACAAAACCCACCCCTGCCGTGGTACTGCCAGGGGAAATTAAAAGTCTCTTGCGATAGAGCTTAACACAGAGAAGGGAGTGATGGCAGGTTGGAGCAAGGTGCGATCCGTGAGGGATCCCAGATTGAAGGAGAAAGAACGGGAAGCAACTGTGTTGCCCTGAGCAAGTCATTTTAACCACTGGAGGCTTCCATGTTCTCATCTGTGAAATGGATGGGACATCCACACACTTCAGTGCTCTAGGACACTGTGATAAGGGACAGTCTTGTGGAAGAAGGGTCTAGTTCCTGGGCAACACATGTGTGCTGACATACATGGTGGAAAGTATCGTTCTGAAACAGTTCACTAAAACAAATACACTCAAGGGAGCAGGGAGAGGAGAGGTGGAGCGACGCAACTTCCATGAGGACGTCAATGACAGTGGATGTGTGTGCATTCCACTCTTTCAATTTTTCCCATGGTTTGGAATTAGAATATGCATGTGTCTTTAAATAATATGTTGTTATATGTGCACTATATATAGGTTGATAGTGTGTGAGTCTGCAGCAAGGAAACCTATGGGCATGCCGGTAGGTGGAAGGGAAGCCTACTTCTGATCAGAAAATGGCCGATGGCAGTGCCAGGAGGACCTTCCTGCAAGCCACTCTCTGCCGTTCCCATTCCCAAAGTGGAAAACTCCTCAGAGAATTCAATGCTCTCCCTCAGTCCCCAGCTAGTCCCTACAGAGCCAGAGTAGAGTCTGAGGCCTATGGCCCAAGGACCCCACCCAGCAAGGCCAATGTAGAAACTCAAGACAGTCATTTAGAAACCTCACTGGGTGTCCTTTGCAAAGATAAATGACAAACAGTGGGGCAGCATCTAAATTTAGCAGTGCTGTGTACTAGACAGACTCAGCTGGCTTGTGAGAAGCCAGCTCCGGGCAGAGCATGCTGGGAGGGTGCAAGCAGATGGTGTAAAAGAACTTGGTGGAAGTGGCCTAGAGTGGGGAAGAGCAAGCAAGTGGAATCAGCTGAAGCGGGGCTTTCCCCCACATGCACACTGAGGAGTGACAGGGTTTTGGAGGGAGGGGGACACTCAGAAGGCAGGGGTGAGGTGACAACTCTTTAGCATGTATGCAGAAACCCTCAGGCTTGAATGAGTGCATTCCTGTTCCTGGTATCGGTTTGGTTACAATGGATGAGCAGAGCTCCATCCAGTCACTAGGATTCAGCCATGATGTTGAATGCATGGAAGTCCTGCCTTCCCAGAGCTCCCCTTATTAAAGCCATCGGAGACCTAGAGAACAGCTCACAATTACAGGGCAGCTCTAAAGGAGACACAGTGGGCACTGGACAGTGTCCACAGGTGGTGGTGGTAGTGGTGGTTGGGGACAAGGTATATGTCTGGGTCATTGGATTATTACCCCAGGGGTTCGATAGCCCCAGGACAAACTAGATTGAGGGGTTCACAGAGAAGAAAGTGCTTCTACAGAAAAGTGGAAGTAAGTAGGGAGGGAACCTGGAGAAGAACCCAGAAGAGTCCTGGGGCCAGTTCTGCAACGCACTGCAGGATGAGGCTAGATTTCGTCTTTACCATGGGGTTTTCATTCAAGGTCATTAATGCATGGAGTCAGCACAAAAGCAAAAGACAGGAGATAGCCTTCCAGCAGCCTCGAACTAAGTGTGGAGTCAGCCTGGCTGAGCTGTGCTGGCAAACAGCACCTCCTCTCAAGAGGTCACAACTGAGGGTCCACAAAGGCACTCAGGACCATCTGTGTCAGATTTCCAGAGGGCTTCACAAATTAATTAGCTAGCAGTGCCCAGATAAACAGCCACAGGGGGACACCAGACTGTTAGCCATGAGTGAGCCAAGGATCACTCAATGAAGTGGGACAGTGTGGTTTCTACCCATGCTACAGTGACAAGATGCCTGTCAGGAGTCAGCTGCCACAGTCCCCAAGTGGAGCCGGCAGCCTAACTGGAAAAACTCAAAGCTCATCTCTCCAGCTTTGGTTCTCCTGGAGGCTGCAGGCTCAGGAAGAGATACATTGTAAGGCAGTTGGACATTGCATGTCAGAGGTGTGGGGTTATCAGCAGATCCCAAGTCTGGGGAGGTTAGGTTTTATTTTCTTTCTTTCTGCATAGATATTGAGAAGAATAGATGATGGGGAAGCCAAGCTTTGGAGCCAGTAAGCATCCCTTATGTAGAAAGAATCAGGTAACAGTGTACTTGGTTAAGCTGTTCAAAAGCACATAGATGCCTTTCCTGCCTGTGTGGACACCCTGCCTCCTGCAGATGTGGCATCCCTGGGCTACCCAGAGCTCATCTGGTCCCTGTGTATCTCAGAGCTCCCCCAACCAGAAGTGAAAACTCCCTCTTGGATACACCTGGGAGTTGTTTTCGCAACATAGGAGTCAATGTCAAGAAATGGAGTCCAGATAGCTAAAGAGTGACTGTATGACCTTGTGCAGATTTCCAGGTCTCTCACAGAGCCTAATACTAATACTTCTTGCTCATGGAGACCCATAGGGAAATATACATACATTTCTTAATGTGACATAAAATCATCAAAGCCCCCCCCCTTTTTGGTGGACTCTTGGAAAAACCAAAATGAGTCTTATATGTGGGCACCAAAGGCAGTGAGTCTAACATAGAGCCACTGTACATGCCCCGAAGAGATGGCCCACAAGTATCCACTAAATGAATGAAGAAAGGCGACGGTGGCGGGAGCATTTGTATTTATTGCACTTTACCCTGCCTTTCCCATGGAGGGACAGAGAGCCTGCACCATTTCTCGGGAGGTGAGAGTCCTGCTTTGGGATTGACTTAGAGTTGGAGAAGTGGCCTGTGGGAAGGCCTGAGTTCACCCACTACAGTGGAACCTGGCTGTGTCATCAGGCACGGTCTCTGCAGGAAGCCTCCTGGCCCTGCAGCTCCTCTGCAAGAGGAAGAAGTAGAAGCTCTGCCCCACGCCCTTCTCTGCTCAGGAGGGTTGCACAAGTACCCCGACCCATTAGAGCTCTGCTCTTCTGTCCTTGCTCCACTAAACCCACTCTGTGCCTCCAGAGCCTGCGTGGTTCTCAGCCCTGTAAGGGTGATTTACTAACTTTCAGATGTGCTCGTTTGCAAGCCACCACCTTTCTTAGATCCAACTCAGACGCTTACCTGTTGAAATTCTTGTGATGGCGCCTCTGTGGGCTAGCACCAGGCAGAGCTATGTATGGGGAGATAAGGCTGGCACTTGCTCCATACTCTTGGGGCTAACCTTGAGTGGAACAGGGGACAGGAGTAAACCAGAACAGGGCAGCATGGTGGGGTTTCTGGTGCACAGGGATCCTAGAAGAAGCATCTGGCAAGGCTTCGGTGACTGACATTGACCGAGGTCTGGTGTTCAGGGGATCATCAAAAGTGGGAGAATTTGGCACAGCTAGACACTTGACAGGCTCATGGAATGTGTTCCCTGTACCTCTTTCTCGATTCCTTTTTCTTGTGGGATGACTTCAGTTCTGTCTTATCTGAAGTTGATGGTGACGTCAGTCCTGGCCACTGGCAGTCATCTTGCCTCTTTTACTCATTCTCTGTCCCTCTCAAAGCTACTGGAGCAGGCTAATAAGTAAGCCCATCACTGTCTTCCTCCCACACTGTTTCTGTTCCTATTGTCCTGGGCCTTTCACAGCTACTCATCAGGGCCTCGTGGATCATGCCATGGGACATTAGACAGGGTGAAGGATGGCAGGCCTGGTCGTGTCTGTCTGCAGCTCAACGATTGTGAGAGTAATCTCTACCTGTCCGGGGTCAAGTGGTTCGCTGACCTGCCTGCCACCATCAACAGAGCAGAACCCTTAGGTGGGGGTGTCCCCCTAGCTCCCCTCTTTTCTCCAGTATCCCCTTACTGTTTGATTAGTCACGCCTTAACTTTGGATCATGCACCCACAGCAAAAACCTGGGAGTGATCTCTCACGGTAGTCAGTCAGTCACAGACTGTTTCCATAGGTAACTTGGCTAATATGTACCTATACACATGGAAACTGGAAAGAATGACATTTCTTAAAAGATACTGATAAATATATACTCTAGAATTTTCATTCAGTGCTTCGGTGGTTACCTTTGGGTATCCCATTCAGGAGATGAAAACACCAAGGAGGAAATGGATTGTTTCTAAACAGGAGTCTTGAATTTTTTTTTTTTTTCCGAAATCTTACATTTCACCCATCCCTATGTCTTCAGGGAAGGCCCCGAGATCCTCTGAGCTCTGCTTAAGAACAAAGCTATTACAATGCCTTCCCATGAGACGGGCATTCAGGGTGGGGGAGTGCTGAGGGTTGCTGGGCCCCACAGAAGGCATTTTTCCAGGGTTTTTCACAAGACCAGTCTCTGTCTCTGCAGGCCTGGGACATGTGCATGCAGTCAGTGTGGCACAGCTTCCGTGCCCCATGTGGCCAGAGCAAGCAGATGCTCACAGGGAGGCACGGGGATGGGAGACTGAGGGAGCTAGTTTTAGAGAGAGAAAAGTGAAGAGAAGCTGCCTTCCCCCAGATCTCCAAAGATCTTGAGGCCTTAATCATGTCGTGCTGACTCGGATTCCCTGGAGCATCTTTGTGCCGAAGCTGCTGGAATTAGTCCCATAATGGAGCCAC